ACTTGTAAAAGAATTCTATGCAGTCTTTATGTATTTTTTTTTTACCTTCGGGCAGAGACTGCATCCAAAATATAAGCAATATGAGCAAGGGTTACATGAAATGTACGTTAGGCTATGTGTACAATGCTATGTATGTTATAAATATGTTGTAAATTATGATTAGAAATACAATTGGTGATACGTATATTTTTTGTTTAATTTATACCTAAGTACTTACTTATTGTAAAAAAAGATCTGTTCTTATACACATATTATAATATACTGACGTAAAATTTTCGCCTTATCGGTGCCCATAAACACTTCTATCCCTAGTTATACCGTTTATTAGTAAAAATTATGGGTTATAATTCGGTGTTACACTTTTCTAAGTCAGGTAACACACTCGGCCAAAACGCTCTAGATATCTAGCTTTGCATTCGAAGATATTTAACTTTTTAACCGACTTCAAAAAAGGAGGAAGTTCTATGTTTCACTGTATGTATTCTTTTATAGGAACCTCTCCTCCTCCCCTTTTCATCCCGTGGGTGTTGTAAGAGCCGACTAAGTAAGCAAACTCTGCAGGACAACAGCACTGCAAAGAGAAGGAAAACTTGACATAAACCCTATACCAACCCATCTGGCCAACGTACTATACAGTAGACCAAAACCTTTCTGCGGGGAGGCCTATGTCTAGTAGTGGACTATTAAAGGTTGTTGATGTGTGTATGTGAGGTAACTCTCGAGTTGCTTACACCTCAGGTTTATCGAAAACCTCAAAATGAATTAAAGAAACATCGGTTGTACATAACCATTCAGACTGAAATCATGAGCTGATCCAGTCGCAGAAATTGGTGTTGAAAAGTGGTGAGTCGGAGTATGAACTCGTTCATGATCGATTTAGTGCACTTCTACAAAGAAGATACTTACATAACTAGAGTCCAAATAATACTAAACATCTTTTTAAAAAGAAAGAAATTAGCTACCTACTGAGTTTCACAATACAGGACAGGTTTTTTACTAATAGAACTACACATTTAATTGCGTATGGGATTAAACTAATTACTCAAAAACGTAATGGTTTGTTCATTTGACGGGCCTGTTGGTCTAGTGGTTAGTGACCCTGACTGCTAAGCCGGAGGTCGTGGGTTCGATTCCCACCCAGGACAAATATTGTGTGATGAGCACGGTCATTTGCTCTGTGTCTGGGTGTAATTTATCTATAATATGTATGTATTTAAAAATATATAAGTATGTTTATCAGCGGTCTGGTTACCATAGTACAGGCTCTGCCTAGTTTGGGATCAGACGGCCGTGTGTGATATATATTATTTTTATTTTTTTATTATTTATGCCAGATATTCTTCGTTCTTTGAAAGTATCTCGATTCATATGTAGGTAACGTATACTTAGTAATGGCAAAGAATTCAATAACACTAGTTTTTTCACTATTCAAATACGAAACAATATAACCGAATTATACAATTCGTGTGGTGACGGATTAAGAATACAGTGTCACCACCCATATTCATCCCGTGGGTGTCGTAAGAGTGGAGCAAACTACGCAGGTCAACAGCACTGCAAAGAGAAGGAAAACTTGAAACAAACCCTATACCAACCCGTAGGTCAGCGTGGTTTAGTAGACCTAAACCTCCTTTCTAAGGAAAGGCCTATGTCCAGCAGTGGCTATTAATGGCTATTAAAGGCTGTTGATGATGATGATACATGTTCTGTGTCTAATTGTACAATTTGGCAGCCATGTATTGTACCTATCACTTGGGCAGTTTGAAACAGTCACATCAAAAAGTGAAAGTAGGTACTGGTGTATTGTAGGGGCCACAACACACCAGGTGTTGTAGGCGCTGGTAACCGCTTACCGGGCTATCAGGCGGACCGTTTTGTTCGCCGACTGTGTTTATATTTAAATAGCAGTTCGCTGCGATTATCAAAAAATCATACAGGGATTAGAATGTGTTCACGTCACATAGGTATTAAGTCCGACACATACACGAGAAATTGCCTCTCCTCTCGATGCCATGGCGTTCAGAGGGCCTATTGTGAGTTTATTTCGCATTAATTCGGCTTTGCGGTTGGCCCGTACTGAACTTTTTACCAATTGCAATGCCGAACGCGCTCGCCGTCGAGGTGTGGAAGCACTCTCCCTCCGTACCATGGACGGCGCTTCACACGCTGACAGAATGCCCGGCGTGGCTGGAGCGCGTGTCCGGGTCGATGTATATCGGTCGGTACACCTGGTTCCCCGGTTACTGGTACCCGAAACGGCGTGCGATTTTTAGTCGGTTCGAGTCCGATGATGAAAAAAAAAGGAGTAGTTCCTTGCGTTACCCCAAGTAGCATTTTGCTTACTGCTTTTAAGTTAGCTATTCTGGTGAATCATTCTGTAGGAAACTTTTAGAAAATGTCATGTGGGGACAAAACTGTAAAAATAAAACGATTAAATTGTCATCATGTACAAAAATATTTCATTTTATTGTTGTTATTTTAAATTAAATTATTGCTACCTAACAATAACAACTATTTAAATTACGTTCTATTATAAATACAATTTTTGCATTTCTACATGTTGAAATAATTAAAATTTAGGAATATTATATATTCTGAAGCCAAAACATATGTCGCCTGTTGCCAAACATTTAATGAAGAATTCAATTTTAAATCTTTTAGGCTTAAACCCACGTGGAGCCGCAAGGTTTAGCATTAGTGGATGTTATCTGTCATCAGTGTGGACAAAAGTGCATTTGAGTGTATTATGTATATGTTCTTATCACACTTTATCTGAAGACATGATACACACATCTATTGACGCTGAAATATAAAATTGTTAATAATAACATGTTACAAATTAAATTTATACTTCTGTATTATTAGAATACATATTAGTATATCAACCAAAACATCACAATGAAGTCCAGAGAGAAACAAGCAGTTAAATATTGATTATAAAAAAAATTATAGATATTAAAAATATTTGTATCATAGCAGCATTATTGGCAAGATCATGAAGTAAGTTTACTCTTTCACATGTGAACTCTTTTCACAAATTATTGTTTAATTTCATCTAGACAAGGAGTCCATCAAAATTTGAGATTCAGCTGACGCATTAAAACATCCAATTAAAAATTACTACATAAACATCTTATAACTAAATGGAAGTAACAAAATGGACACATTTATACCTACATAACAGTCTGTTGTCGTTCTATCACTTAAAGCTATTATTATAATATAAGATCCCGTAGTTGATGTTAAAACATATTATTTGATAAACTTATTATTATGACCACCAATTAGGAAGTATTTACGAAATGTAAAATTTCGAACTAGGAACAAGGATATTGTATTAGATAAAATTTGTATTGAATGTTGTGTAATTGATATAAAATTAAGAAATTATGGTTTATAATTGCTTTTGCTAATTTTCGTACAATTAAGTCTTGAAGTTCATTTCAATTACTTGGGAATTTAAAATAAAGGAATTGCTATTCAAGGGCCTCACTCAATAATCCTCATAGTGCCCATGTAGACAAAGTACTAAAGCAACGAAAGAAAACGAAACTCATTGCGCAGAGCCCAAATAAAATTTAGATTTCTTTATATTTCCCCTTGAATTCACTGCTACAGGCTAATTGACTGATGAATAATTAAAATTTGATTTGCAAACAGCAAAGTCATGAAACAGCCGAATTGAGGAAAAGCCTGGGCATTTGTTAAACATTTAAACTAACTAACATTTCCCTTAGATATTTGTCAAATGTTTTAGTTTTATATTAGCTATTTCAATTATTTTCAAAACCTATGGTTATGAATATTAAATTCATTATTATACTTTTTTTATAATACTTTTGTCTGTTGTTTGTACCTCGAACAAAAATAAGTTTACCATACAATATCATTTTTTTTTAATTATATTATAATGTTGATATAAATTAGGATATTGTATTAATACTGATTACATTTAATCATAAAATGGTAATTGATGGCATTTATTTACATCGTTGTGGCATGGAATATAATTTAAAACAAAAAAAAAATTGATTAGACCCGCATTTTATATGCAATACCGAAACTAAACAATATATAATACAACGGAATAACTAGAGCTATAATAAATTATCCCTAAAATCGCCTAAACAACTATCCTACAACTATTATGCAAAACATGGTTTTATGATATAATTTAAGATTTATTGAAAAATTCGCACTTCTACACAAAAATTATATTATTAATGAGCACCTTATTTTTACAGATTGGTAAGGCACATTATGTGTGGGGGAGGTAATCTTATTTAGTACCTACAACAAAAATACTATACTTTAAAAAAAGTACCATTTTTAACCTACTGCTGGCTATTCCTTTTTGATTATTATCTTTTTTTTACCATAATTTTTAAATTATGGGATTAAACAAGGAACATACTCTACAAGGAAGACTGAGTAAGATAATTACATTCTATAACTAAATTATTGTTACAAATATTACAAGATTATAATTATTATAAATTAGTTATATCTATATACTACTTAGTTATCTAAGCAAAGTTTGGAATGTAAGAGGAGTTGGCAGTCTTTGTAAGTTGGATAGTGTATGTCAAAGCAAAAAATGCAGTCTAGGCCAATCTGTCACATAAATTGACATTTACAAGTTTAGAATATGACATAGATGTGTCTTCATACAGTGAAATATGAGTGTGGGATATAATAATTTTCATAAACTTGTAAACTATGAGAAATATTTTGCTAATAAATAAAACAAAGTCTGGTTAGGCAGGTAAACCATGTAAAACTCAAGAATGAGTAGACCAATTTTTAATGATCTTTAATTTGTTTTATTTGTCTCCACCCCATATCAGAATAAATATTAAAACAACAATTTTGGGTTGCAACAATTTCTCATGTGCAAGGTTTATAGTTTAATTACATCAAGTTTGGTGCCCACAGATGAAATTACCTATAGTTTTTATAGTATTGAAATGTATATACAAAAATGAAACATACTTGTATATTCAGCTAAATTCATTTCCTTCATATAAGCTTTCACAAACCTCCAACAATCTTAGAACAGGACTTATGTTGTACGGGAAGAGTGATTTAGAAACCAATCGACTTATTTGCAGTCTCAATCTTATTAGAACCCTCATTGTGTCTTCAAGACCTCTGCTGCCTCCAGAATCTGCCTGCTGACATGTCTCCAAGAACTTAGGCCAGTTTCTCCGCACATATTTCAAAAATCTTAACAAATACAGCAGGAAACATGTCTCATTGCTGACTAAGTAATCTAACAATACATCACTGTCATGAGACACTACCTTCAGGAATTCTATGAATGATGATATAGGATTTAACATAGGTATTAGATCTGGATACATAGAGTTCCTGTACACAATGCCTACTGTAATATCAAGTGTGCAAACCATGGACTCTATTAAATAATCATCTTGTTCACTAAATAAATGTATCAGCATTTTAGTAAAAGGTGTCTCAGGGTGAAATTCTAAGCTGTTTCTAATGAAGACATCTAATTTTTTAAGTACATCTCGGATTGATCTTTCTACAATTTGCATGTCTTGTATTGCATTATAGTCAGAGGAATCTATTGAACTGTCTGATGAATCACATCGCATTTCTTTTACAGTGACGGCAACTGATTTTAGCACTAACAATGCCATTCTTTGTAACATAGTTTTGTCTACTTCAGATCTAGTTTGCCCGGTATCTTCATTTTCATCCTCCCCATAACTCTGGTCTACTAACTGAATTGAAGATGACAAAGGTGCAACTTCAGGGCCTAATGAGTAATCTCTTAATATAGTGCATTCATGCCCTAAGAACCCAAAACCACTTCTGCTTGTTTGGATCCTAACATCACTTAACAATCTGAAATCTTTCACAAATCTAACTATTGAGTGAGCCAAACAACAAATTTCTTCTGGCAAAATATCTTGTAGTGCTAATGTTGACCCATAACACAGGACCTCATTGAACAAACTTAGTAAATGAGTATATATTAGACTCGGCAACACTGTATTTCGTAATAAATCAACAAAACTCTGTAGATCAGCATAAAATGGCTTTGTATCTATAACCGAGAGATTCGCTTTCACACTTATAATATTTTCCCATAATGAGAAAAATGTTAAAATACAATTTTCAGAATTAGCTAAATTCAGGTACCTTAATAGAAGAAGCTTCATATTTTTCACCAATACAGGCCAATGGTGTTCTAACGTTTTAATCGTTAAGCATTTGATGTGTGACGTGTCAAATGATTCAGAATCCGTCAGTACGATAGTCACACAGCCATGTTCGTTGACCCTTTCTATCCTAGACTGTGGAGGTTCAGGTGATTCTGATTGTTCCATTTCCCTCTGGTCATTACTTGATAACTTTAATACTGGGTCGTGGAGTTTAAAAGTTGCGGGTCTTTCTTGTTCTGATGATGATGTTGAAGGAGCACCATGAGTTTGAAGATTTGAGAATGAATTGTGTAAATTATTATGTGAACTCGAAGGCATCATGTCATTATCATTACCACTGCTGTATCCTATGCTACTTCTAAATGGATTATCTTCTTGTACTTGAATATTGCCCGAACTCATATAACTGTTATCTTCAAGAGGATGCTGCTCAACATCCTTCCACTCAACTATCCTTTTTATAATATCTAGACTGAAATTTATTTTTTGTACTGTGATCCTATTGATTCTGTCAAAAAGATAAATGTTTTCAGCTATTTGCTGCAACCAATTTTCATCTACAGTGTCTTTGGAGACAATTAGAAAACTAGCCAATACTCTACTGGCCACAAATGTTATAAATTTACTCTTGTGATCTGCCAATTCCACAACCTCAGTAATCCAATCATGTCTATTCCTTACAAATATGTCACATGCCTGCATTATTTTTGAACATATTGTACCTGTACTGTTTTGCTTTAAATATATATCAAACATTAGCTGCATAGTGGATAAATATGTAAGAGAACATGTCAGGGGCCAGGAAACAATGTTAAGTCGTCTGTCAAACAAATTTGATACCACATCCTGATCAAATCTACATAAACACTGACCAACAAGGCCATCTTGTAATATACGTAGTTCAGTGAGAAGTTTATCATCTTCAGAATTCCAGTGTGCAGTCGAAGTGGAGCAAGATGGTATGATTTCTACATTAGTGTCACTTGGGAGTCTCAAAAGACTTGAACAGTCAACGGCATCCTCACTAACAGTTCCACTGTCTGGTGACTCACCATTTCTCGACGGAAACTCCTCTGAAGTTTCAACAGGTGGTGTCTCCGTATCAAATATATCTGTGAGTACATCCTCTGTGGATCTATCGCTAGCGTCATCGATATCAGGTGCGTCAATTCGCTGTTTCTTTTTTACGGGTTGATCTGAGGCCATACCTTCATCTGAGTGTGGTCCACAAAGGTGCCCCCTCAAAACCATGAACACTACTATTATTTCACATCCAGTCCTATAATATACGTTGTTCGCGCACCACGATTCCCCTTATATAAAGACGACCATCGTTCTGGAAACAAAAAGGTGAATATGAATGCATGACCTTTCCGTTTAGCTACTCAATTACGCGGGCGACAAAGCCTTCACATATTTGTTGAATTATGATATAGCAAGTTGTTAGAATAACACAATACATAAAATTTTAAGTATGAATGAAGAGATTAAACGTAAATTATATCAAATAAACTATATAATAACATTTTCAATAAACTTTCCAAAATATTTTGATGTCACACATACCATTGATAAAACGAGGTTGTTTGAATGCTTTGTATTGCCTTTGGTATCCATAAATTATAAATAACCATTCACTGCAATCCAGTAATACACAATTGTAAACAGTTTTATGTGATATTCGTTCAAAATTATATAATTGTTTCAATTAGAACTTGTTGAAAAGAACATCGACTCCATTACGTACGAATGACGCTCTGTCAATGGAGATACTTCTTAAGATGGAATTTATTGCATTCTATAAATCGCACTCCAAACTTTTCAGTTATAATTCTACAGTAAATTAAAATAAGATTTAATCTGATTAAATACTATTCAATAGTAGAAAATAAAAAGATAAGTATTTTATTACACATGAAGTTGTTTGATTATTTCAAGTGTCTTTCTGACTACATATCCGGTAAGGACGTTGCCAGTCTGACGACTTCTGAATTTAGCAAACAGTAGCTACATTTTTCAGATCTGTTGATGTAGATTCAATATTACTACAACTATACAAAAGATATATATCATATATGCATAAATGGAAAATGCTCCTCGACTTTCGTTAATAACTTCGAAATAACTTAAAAGATTATGGATAATGTCAAAACTATAAGCTTTAGAGTTAAAATTGGTACAAAATGTAATGAATGACAATTTTGAGAAAAAGTTTTCTAAAATACCACTTACTTTTTGCAGAAAACACTACTCGGAATAATTAAAATTTACATTTGATTAATTTCTAACAGAATACGGTGAAGCTAATAATGTTTAAAGTTTTTTAAATTAAAATTGCGACTGTTTTTTTTCTAGCAATACCGACAGTGTCCCGAGTAAAATGTCTGCTTCGAAAGGGTCGAAAAATAATTTATACAAAATGATTTACTAGCCATAGCCTAAAACCATCAAAGCCAACGGAATATTCAGGTGATTATCACCAAGTTGTGATAGTGGTGTTTGAAAAAAGTGAAAATGATGACTCATATAAGTGTTTTTGCATAACAATCGATAGAAAAAATATAGGTTAAGATCTTAGTGGTATTGTGTTAACTTCGGAACGTTATAAAAATATATTGAAAATAGAAATGTATCAACGGATCGATGTACTTGTAACATGCAAGTATATGTTATTGTTTATTTATAGTCGCGATGCGGAAATCGCTTCAATATGTCATGATGATCGTATTCTTTTTTTTGGCGTAAAAATGTATAGAAAAGTTTAATTGTAAGGGATTGCGAAAGCACTCTGGTATTGTGTGTCACCCGCAGCCTTGTAATAACCGAATAGAAAGCAGTAGTTGTCTTTTGATTTATTAGACAATGGCGAAAATCGTGATTAATTTCTTGTTGTCCCTAGTCTCGGTCGGTAGTAGGTAGGAGCGGTACTCTTAGAGAATGTCACAACATCTACGTATTTCTTATTGTTTATATTAGGTAACAACTTATTCTCCTAGTACTTTTTTAGTTCTCATAGAGAATTCGTTTTGAATAAAAAAAAAATATACGAAAATATGTACCTGTTCTTATTAGTTTGTTAAATCACCTCTCTCGAAACTAGTGCGTTTGTCGTTAACGCCTTTACAATGGTATGCCTTATAATGTAAGGTACATAAGTAGAGATTTAATATGTTTGTTTAATTTGTATCTCTTTGTATGTACCTAAAGCTACATAAATAAACAAGTTGTATTAGTAAATAGTATGTAAATTGATAAAGCATACATTATTATCAGCCAATTATCAGTTTGATAGCATGTCTATTTAATACCTGTTATTGGTTGGACTATTCTAACAACATTTCTCCAGATTTCTTGTAGGAAGCTTAAATTTTTTTTAAAAGAAAATTAGGAAATAGAAATCAGGACTATAGTAGTATTTACAAAAGAAAACAAATCAAACTTTTTAATTTATGAAACTAAGGCAATGATAAACATCTTTCAGGTACTGGGGACTATACAATGGAACACTATGACACAGATTAAACAATAATCTTGCCTTAATTGTTTTTTTAAGTGTAGATTTTGTACATGAATCTCTTAGAACATAGCGTAGTGTAACATGAAGTGATTTGGACAGTAGACTTTTAAGTGAGTGATCAATGGTTGATGGTGTGAACGGATCCAATATGTCTGATGAAGAGGACTCGTCGCCAGACGGGGCATTGGTGCCCATAAATAATGTACCAGGTAAGTTATTTTATGTTACTAAAGTCTTATTCTACAGTTATATTTTATGTGCCTAATCTTGGCTGTTATATTTGGTTAATTAAAAATTCCTTTTGGGTAATATGTAATACTTTATTATGCAATGTGTTAAGTAATAATGCAAGTTAGCATATCACAGATAAATGAAAGTATTCCGTTAAGTGCACTATGCTTTTTCATGTTTATTCTGTTTTAATAGTTATGTTATTCTTTCTTTACCTTTTTTCTACTCTTATATAGAATAGTTTTATTTATTATGGAAAAAATCTTTTAAATTACACATAATTCCATCCATAAAATATTGTCCCCATTGTCAGTAGGTGGCTATCGCTATGGTATGGTACTTTCAATAAATAACTGTTTCGTTACTAGCCTTTTTGATATTTTCTTTTTAACAGATTATCAGAAAGGCTAGTAACAACACAGTATGGTAGTTGAAATAACATTTCCATGAAGTATGTAAACTATAATTTAATTATATATATAATTATTTTATTTAATACTATAATTTATTCTAGTACAAAGCTTAGGTTGTTTGGACCTGCAGGACAGATATTTTTTGAAGCTATATAATCCTCTGTCAAAACTGTTAAAACTAATAAGAAATGAAATAATTATATATAAACAATTTTTTTATTAATTATTGCATTGAAATACCCATTCTTGATAAATGTTAACCTAACCTGAACCTATTTATAGGTAAGAGAAATAAAACAACATTGACAATGATCAGTAGTTCAATTAAAGTTGTCAGTAAAGCATTTTATATGAACTGAACAGAAGGTAATAAATCTCTCATAATAAAAATTATATTGACTCTATGTAATATATAGAAATAGTAATATAGGTCATCAATGGTGATATCAACAATATTGCCATATCATGAAAATAAAATATATTTATTAATTTCTTACAAATTTAAAATGTACTGTTTACCAAACTATTACAAAAACATTGACAACATTTGTACCAGTGACAAGTCATTGGGAGGCCATTGGTTTTACATACTTAGTGGAATAAGAAAAGTGCAAAAGTGTAAGGTTATCATTGTAAACAGCTAAAACTATTATTGTAATCTTAAAACAAAACAATCTGAATTTATCATTTAAGATTGTTATCAAACATAATCATATTTATCAGTTATCAGTCTGCAATCACAGCAATGGTTTTGATAAGAAATGTAACTTATGTATTTAGTCAAGTAGTTATGGTTTATTTAGTAGTCGAATTTACAAATATGATATTCTAGACCTGCTCCCTATACCTCAGAGTGCTAACGCATAATTCACTGTTTTGAGTGAACTATTAGAGGACATGTGTGATCTAACCAAGACCATTAGTGACCCTGACTGCTAAGCCTGAAGTTGTGGGTTCTATTCCCACCCAGGATTAATATTGTGTGATGAGCATGTTCATCTGTGTCAGGGTGTAAGTTACAGGCTCTGCCTAGTTTGGGATTAGATTGCCGATTAGTGAGATGTGTGAAGTTATTATTATTAACGGAAGTTGTAAATTTATGGACCCTATTTTATGGGCGCATTTGCCATTTTTGAACAACAAACAAAAGAATGTATTTTCTGAGATGGGAAAAAAACCATTGAACTTACGACACTGTTGCCGTTACCGACACCTCTGTATAAAATTATCTACATATATTGGCCCCGTTTACACTAGAGTTGTGTTTGTTGAAATACATTGATGATATATCTATATATAATATAAACATATTATTAGAGGCTTATGTCCAGCAGTGGACTATTAAAGGCTGTTGATGATGATGATGATTGTGTATATACGCACAACATATATATATTCATGTCGGAACTTTTCGAATCAATCTTCCTACTGCGCTGAGCGTTGTGGGTTCAATCCTCACATGAGACAATACTTTGTGTGATCCACAAATTGTTTTTCTGAGGGTGTTCTTTGTGTCCATTTCATGTGTGTTTGTAAAGTCCACCGCGACACAGGAATATGTACCTAATGACGGAGTTGTCTTTTAAAAAAAAAAAAGAAAAATAAAACCAGTAAAATGGTTGACTTTTTTTTTAAATTTGTTGACTGAACAAATTTTCTAATTCTACTTCAATACACCCATCATCATCATCATCATCATCATTATTTACATGCCTTTCTGCCAAATTATTTAGGGTCGGCTCTATATTTCAAGGGTTGGTTGACGTTAATCCTCCTTAAGAATGAAGTCGTTTTGAGACGGAACAAAGGAAGAAAGTACTTCGAATTGGGAAAAACCGATAGATAGTTCGAGAGAGCTAGAGTAAGAGACAATGTATTGTAATAATAAAAAATTAAAAAATTTTTATTGTGTGTGTGGGTTTGTTATAAAAAAAATAAAACTAAAATTGGTGGCATCAAATAGAAACAAAATAACAAAATAAAAGCCTCGGGCGCCAGATACCACCTTAAAAGAACACAGAACCCACCACAAACACAACTAATACCTCGGACATCTCAGCCAGCATCGAACCTTTTTAAAACAAAGCGGG